CAAGTTATCCTAAATTCAATTCAAGTAACCGGATGAATACAAAAGTTTTTTATAAAGAAACAAAATAGTGTAAAAATTACTTTTATTGTTTGTTGTACTCCTTGAATGCTGAGCCGAAATATTGTCTTGGAAAAAAATACATAATCTTGAACATAAATTTAATTTTAATCGGCTTTTTCATTTTCTATACAATGTCTTTTACAATGACCTTTTGTTTTTATTGCATTAAAAAAATGAACCAATAACCAATCTAAGCAAGATGAATAAAAGTTAAATTGAATTAGACATTTGACGGAAAAGGGATAGATATAAAATGTATTATAACTATTACTCATGTTTTAAATTGTAATATTCGTATTAACAATGCTATTACTTATGAATTTTTTTTAGAAAAACTAACATTTTGATTTAAAAATCGTGCATTGCTCGTGTACTATACTAGATATACAACAATCATGTGCAATAATTTATGTTGTTTTATACATAATAATACTTTTAACTATAATAGTATGTGTATAGAATATAATATTTTTTATAATATAAAAAAGTATACGTAGATTATATAATATTTTATAACACGTGTCATCCATACCAAGTGTAGTCTCAATCACCACTACACCAATTGGTTGTTGGTGTAGTGGTGATTGAGACTACACTTGGTAGGGAGGACCTGTGTGCTCCCCTACAACAACAATCGGAAGGGGAGTGGAACCTAATAACCTAGAACTGATCCTCAAATCTTGATTAGCCCAAAGGGTGAACCGGATTGAACACCCAAAACTCAATGCATATATGACGGGAATTAACTTATCCTTTATCTATTTTATACAAAACTCCAAAGTCTATTTTTTTTTTCAAAATATGATAATAACATTTGTAAATTTTTGTTAATATGAAAGATATAAACCTATCAAAATGTATATATAGTTAAATTGTTTAATAACTTATATCGAATGCATAGTTTTATTAATATAGATTTGCATGTAATCATTAAATGTGTTGGATGTTGTGTAGCTATGCAATGTCCAAAACTTTAGTTGAGCGATTTTGATTTAGTGATTGTACGATAAAAAGATATTGACTTCGATCTTGAAACCTAATAGTCTAATAAATTCTAAATAGAAAAATTAAAACAAAAGGAAATGAAAATAGTAAATGGCTTTAAATATTGAAATAAACATAACCTTTTAAATCAATTTAGCGAATTCAAGAGACAGTTTTAAGGCATTTAAAATTAAATGGGGGAAAATATATGTAAAAAGAAAATTTTTAAATATATAAATGTCCATGCACTATTATAAGAGTTTTGTTAACCTTTTTATAATTAAGGTAGGGATAAATCTTAGTAATATATACTCCGTATATTTTATTTATATAAATTTATCAGTATCCATACCTATATACGAAGTATTTGTGTCGTATACTATATTTAATCAGCTGTTGGTTATATATATGACTATTATATAATATATAGTTTTTGACACAATGTTTAACTTAGGAAAATATATGTTCTGGTAGGTCAAATATAAGGTTATTATTGTGTCTATAGATTTAATGAGTGTGACGGGTAAATGAAACATGTATATATTAGATTGATTGTAGCTACTGATGCGGATGGTATGATAAGAAAATTTTAGTTTTTTCTCAACGGGAGATATAAATAAATTAGTCCACTTCTTATATAGCTATGTGCAGTATTATTCAATTATTTTTCAATTAATAAAATAACATTATAAAAAATTAAAAGAAATTCAAATAACATAAAATACTATTCAAATAACGCTCCTTTAATTTATTTATTTTTATTGACCATTAGACCATTAGTATAAGTCCTTTAATAGTAAATGAATTACCTTTTTTTTTTAATTTTTCCTACGGGTTTAAAATTTTGATTTATAATCTGTGCATCGCACGGGCACTATGCTAGTTCAAGTAATAGTTTTATTGATCTTGGAAAACAATTACAAATTCAGAATAAATTTGAGACCAATCACAGAAAATAGATTTATTGTCTCTCGAATGTCTAATATTACCCAGCTCTCTCACATGTCACATATGAGACACATAAGACTCTTAGATTTCTAAAATAACACCCAATAATGATGACCCTTGTGGCTAGGAAATAACCTAGAGGTATTTTATAATAACCCCTTGACTAGGAAAGAATCAAAGGAATTCCTTAAATAAGGATATAAGTCCCCACACGCAAAATCGAAATAATTCGGCCCAAAAACCCTCATGCACGAATGTGCCTGCTACTGGCATAGATGTGCATCTCCAGGTACCTTTGAAGTCCGTTAAGGCACAGTCGTGCCTTATCGATCTTGGACTCTTCTCAAGTCGTTGAGAAGGCATGGACGTATCTTGCTCCACTTCTTTTTGAGTTCCCAACTCCTAGCTCTAGAGCTCCCGACTCATTGCTCTAGAGCTCCCGACTCAAGCTTGGCTATAATTCAAGGCACATTTCTTAAACTACCTCCGTTAATTATTATGTGCAACAAAGAAATACTTTAAGTCTCACAAATAATACCCCTTTATTGCACATAATAATTAACGGAGGTAATAAAAAGAATTGATAGATAATTACCAAACAAAAATGTGTTCAATATATGAACAAACAAGTATACACTTGTTGTAAATCCAAAAACAAGATTTAACTTTTTGTCAATTTAGAAATAACTTTCTTATTGTTGTCCAAGTTAAGATAAAAAAAAAATCATCACAAACTTTAAATAAGACGATTGTAAATTATATGTAAAACTATTCAAAAATCTCTACCTTTTAAAGTATGAAAAAACACTTATTATAAATAGTGTAAGGACAATTATTATACATCGAATTATTTTAGGGTAATTTTTAGTCAATTATATTGAGGTAACTTTAAATAAATCTAATATGATTTTAATGTACATAGACAATGGAATAAGTTTTATAGGGTAATATAGTTAAAAAAAAACTTTTATATACAACCTACAATAATAATGACTAGTGCGTGGCCTGAGAGTTGCACCGGGTTGCTACTTAAAAACATAATGTTAATAAAAAAAAAAGGGGGATCTAAAGAGAATATTTCTCCATTATCTTAGAATTGTTAAGGTTATTTGGCTCTTCATTTTTTTCAACCTACATAATTATTTTTAATCATTTTTGTGCTTATTTAAATATATGTGTGTGTGTGTAGAGAGCATAAATCACATAAATAAATATCGGCTAAGATTAGGGATGTACACCTGTCCAAAACCGGACCGAACTTGAATGGACCGGGACCTGAATCATTAATTTTTAATAGCCGGATAATCAACAGGTCCGGTTCTGGTCCAGACCTGAAAAATCAAGTCCCGGTCCGAATTTGGACCTTAATAGACCTGATTATTGATTTTTTTCATTTTTTTTTAAATAATATAAAATTGTTGGAACTTTTTATAGTCATGTTGTTTAGACCTGTTCAGACTTATTTAATAAAAAAAAAGTAGTTTCACCAGTTTCAGGTTCAGACCTGAAAATTCCGGGTTTTACCCGGACCAGACCTGAATCCCAGAATCATGGATTTTTAAAGACCGGGATCGGACCTGAATCCACCGATTCGGTCCAAACAGGTTCGGTTTAGGTCGATTTTCAAGACCAGGCCAGTTTTTGTACACCCCTAGCTAAGATGGTACAATTGTGATTATATCCATGAGGTTTAGTGTACAATGCTAATGTAGATTTGATAATGCAGATCTATTTACTCCCTCCACCTACGATTATTTGCAACATTTACCATAAATGGGTGCTTTCTATATAGTATCTGCAACAAAAAAATTTCTTTCCACTTAGTAAATTTTAAATAGTAAAATGACCACCTTACCCTTACTTTATTTTTTAACTTTGTTTAACATCTTATAATTACACAACTGACCAACTAATTACCATCGTACCCTAGCCACTTCGCCTCCACTACCACCAGCCCAGAGCATCAGCCCCACCGACTAGCCATTCTCCGACCAGACCCCGGATCGCCCAGACGAGCCCAGAGCACCAGCCATTCTTCGACGTGGGTTTGAGTTCAGTGGGTTTCGTGGTGGCCATCGAGGATTTCGGTGGTTTGAGTTCGGTGGGTTTCGTGGTGGCCATCGTGGATTTCGGTTTTGAGTTCGTGGGTTTCATGGTGGCCATTGTAGTGGGTTTCGATTCCAGATCTAGGGCGGTAGGTTTCTTGGTGGGTTTCTGTGGTCTGGGTTTCGTGGTGGGTTGCGTGGGGGGTTTCAACGGTCTGGGTTTTGGTGGGTTGCGTGGGGGTTTTTGATGGTCTAGGTTTCATGGTGGGTTTCGGTGGGTTGCGTAGGGGGTTTCGGTGGTCTGGGTTTCATGGTGGGTTTGGGTGGGATGGTGTGGGTGTTGGTGGTTCGTGGGATGGCGTGGGTTTTGGTGCTTCGTGGGGTTGCGTGGGTGCTGGTGCTTAGTGGGGTGGCAAGGTGGTTCAGCGCTGTCGTGAGTGGTGGTGGTTCTCCTCTACTTAATTGTGTTGTTTTAAAATTTGGATTAATTAACCCTTATCTCTCCTCTTAATTTTCAATAATGTTGTTTAAGAAGTTTTGCCCATTAGTCTGCAAAAAGAACGTTTGGTGCAGATAATCGTGGACGGAGGGAATATTATAAATAACTATTAAGATGATAAAAAATTTTGTGATATTATCCATGAGGTTCAGTATACAATGCTAACACATATCTACCTGGCATATAAACCTTATACGAGTAGTAATTTTATTTAATGGTATGACATCTACTAGCCAAAATTCGAGATGCTAGATTGCTAGGTACACCCAAGGTATAATTCAACAGTTTGTCTTGTGTATGGCTGGCCATACCGTGTAACTGGCCACACCGTGTGACCTCTTTTAAAATAACAAAATAACCTTTATAATTTTGACAAGTAATTCCTGTAGTAATAATTGGGTAACTCTTATAACAGTGAAAAAGGCTAAGCGGCCCGTAAAATAAGACTTCTCGTACTTTTCTTGTCAAAAACATCCAAACAGATTAGACAAGTACACAAACTCACAAAGTCATAAGTAGGACAACTGAGATTGAAGAGTAACAATGCCATCATACTGTGTGACGGGGGCTACCGGCTTCATCGCCTCTTATTTGGTTAAATCTCTCCTCCTTCAAGGCAACACTGTTCGTGCCACTGTCCGAGATCCTGGTATTACTCTCTCTTTTCTCGCTCGAAAATAGACCCTGATCAAACCTCAACTCTCACAATTTTTATAGTCCACGTCTTTCAAATTTTTCATTTAACTTTACTCTTTTAATTTTTAACTTGTTAAAATCTAGCTATGTTAATAATTAATCTTGTTGATTACCCAGATAATGTTGAAAAGGTGGGATTTTTGTGGGAATTACAAGGAGCCAAAGAAAGGCTAACACTTTATAAAGCTGATTTATTGATTGATGGTAGCTTTGATGATGCTATTAATGGTGTTTTAGGCGTTTTCCACACTGCTTGCCCTGTCTTTCTGCCTAGTCAAACCGATGATGTTCAAGTAAGACTTTAAGTTTTTTTTATTAAATTAATTAACCTGGATTAGTTTTTTTTTTTTTTTGCCTAATTTAATATTATTTTATCCATTTAAATTGGTTTTTGGTCTGATGTTTTATGTATTAGGATATGTAATCTATATATTTCTAGTTGGAACGTGTCTTGAATCAGTTAGCCCCCTTTAATTGAATCACGTAACATATGTATTCTTGTTTGTGTTATTTCGTTAATCTTTGTCGCATCTGTTATAACATTCCTAGCATTATATTCCATAAGGAACTAGCAGCAGGCTATAGAAAATACATTTGTTATAATACATAACTTTTTGATTAGATATTACTAAACATATTTGAAGTGTTACGATTATATTGAAACATTTTAATTAAGGAAGTACAATTGTATAATATATTAATATTTATTATCGTAGTTGTTAATTATACCATTGCAAAGTCTTGATTTATTTTGCATGTAAATCTTGGAGATCAATTGGACCTAGCTCAAAAGAACTAAGCTCATAAAATAACTAACAAAAAATGTAGACTTTGTTGATCGATCCAGGTATTAAAGGGACTTTGAATGTGCTTAGTTCATGCAAGAAGGCAAATTCTGTAAAGAGGGTTGTGCTAACATCATCCTGCTCTGCTATACGATACCGAGATGATGCATCTCTAGTGTCTCCCCTGAATGAGTCACATTGGAGTGATCCTGAGTACTGCAAGCGATACAATGTATGGTAACTCGTTCTTTAAGTACTGAATTGTGTAATTACACTCAGCTAGCTTATCAGTGATCTAGTTAAAGTATACTGTTTCCGCTATTGGTATGCATATGCAAAGACATTAGGAGAAATGGCGGCATGGGAAGTAGCTAAAGAGAGTGGTCTTGATCTAGTGGCGGTGAATCCATCATTTGTGGTCGGTCCATTGCTAACTTCACAGCCCACAAGCACACTGGAACTCATACTGTCACTTACTAAAGGTGAAATTTCTCTCTTCACTCGAACATATTATGAATCCAAAAGTCCATAACAAAAATATACTGATGCATTTGTACTTTTCAGACAGCCTAGACTATTATCTCCCATGAAAATTCATTAGATTGAAGTAATTTGCCAAAAAAAAAAAGAAGGAATCATCAAAATAGACTCAGATTCTCATGAAAGATCATAAAAGGTTTCATCTATTGCATTCTGCAAGAAAGTAACCTTCCTGTTGTTCAGTATCTAGGTTCAATTCATAGTATCAGGCTATCAGCTGTGTCATGACTGTTAGCTAATCATAAGCGAAACGCATCATTATGAGCCACAATGAAGCACGGAAACTCTTAATTTTAGCCACGTATCGTTTCCGAAACCTCTTACGTTTCGAAACCCATTTCGAAACGGCTCATGGAGTTTCCTTGTTTTGTGAAGCGTCTCGCATAATTTAACAGTTCGAAAACCTGTGGGAAACTTAATTAAGGATATAAATAAGCGTTTCCCCTTTAATAGAAAGCAATTAAACCCTTATATTCACAAATTACGAGCAGTCAAGCAGCATAGTTGTTTGAGTTGTTTCTATAATTGTCGTTTCCATGCTTTGGAGATCCATGTTTGCTGCCATCACCGCCTAGCTAGAACAAAGTCGATCTAACTACCACCAAACGATTTCACTAATTTGATGTTTTTCTTGTAGTTAATTTGGAAAAAAAAGGAGTTCTTGCAATTTACAGAGCAAAGTATCTGTTTGTTTTTATTTTTTTGCAAGTTTATTTGGTATTTTATTCTGATTAAATGTATTTATTTATGTATTTTTAATGTGTCCCCGTTTCCCATAATTTTAAAATTTCCGTTTCCCCGATTCCCCGTTTCCCCGTCTCCGTTTCCATTTTCCGTTTCCGTGCAACCTAGATGAGCCACATTAAGTACATTAGATATGATGTTAAGAAGATAACCTTACGAACATCCAAAGAAATGCTCTGGTACTAAGTTTACAAATCTGAGTGGTGCTGCTTGAGAAACAACCTTTCTGTCTCACTGTCAATCGTTTGCTATAATTTCACTGGATAAATGCAACTTAGCCAGCCTGACCTGTATGTTTTGTGGCTTTTTGGAACCAGGTGCTCTAGGAGAGTATCCAAAACTTGTTATAGGATTTGTTCACATAGATGATGTAATCGCTGCACACATTTTAGCAATGGAGGAAACCAAAGCATCAGGACGGTTGATATATTCGAGCTCAGTTGCTCACTGGTCAGATATCATGAAGATGCTCAAGGATAAGTATCCTATGTATCCATTTGAATGCAAGTAAGTTTAATTGTTGCAAGGACCCCAAATGGCATCTGCTAATCTTAAGGATTTTTTTTCATGATAACATTATTTTTATGGTATTTTAGGCAAGGCAGTACTGAAGGAAATGATTTTCCACACAGCATGGACACTAGCAAGATTATGCAGCTAGGATTCCCAGGTTTCAAAAGCATTCCACAAATGTTCGACGATTGCATCAAGAGCTTCCAAGAAAAAGGATTTTTGTAAAGTGTATTATCCTTTGTTCTCTTCCAGTCAAGTTTAATAATGTCATGATGTCAACAAATCCAATTTAGATTTTGTTTGCTTATTTTTCTCAGTAGAAGGCTTAAATTCTTGATTATAAGATTATTGAGTTGCAAGAGAAGGCGACAATCTATCATTGAGTTACATCAGTTTGAAGTAATATCTTGGACGATGATGTTTCATTCCAATTTCCAAGACGTCGATAAACTTGATTTGCTAATGATTTACAAAGAGAATAGGAAGGTAAAAGGAGCAAAACAATAAACTCTCTTATAAGTTGTATTGTGATACATTATTGCCAAGACTCGAATCTATATTTGTGAGCGTGGCATAATTCATGTGTTATGAAAAATGCAAGAATGAAACAAAACAAGAACATAGATTTTACGTGGTTCACTAATAATGCGTTAACCATATCCACAAATAAATGAGAAATGAGTTCCATTGATATTAAGGATTGTACATAATGGCTCTATTTGACAACTCATTTTTGTCATCTTAAATGATAAGGTGCTGAAATTTTAAGGCACATTAAATAATTATTTAGTGTTTGGCAAGTACCTTAGATCATTTTGGACTTAAATCAAGTTGGTACTAATGCAAGCACCTTTATTTTCAGATATCAATAGTACTCGTACTACTGTACTTGGCAACTAATGCTACCAAACAATTTGAATTAAAAAAAAAAAAAAAAAAAAAACATGCAGCGGAAGAGTGTTTATACAATTTTGGTTGAAAGAGAGAACCTTTAACCTTTTCCTAGAGGTGATCAATATTAGCCCGGCCCGCTAGCCTGATCTTAAAAAAAACGCATTTTTAGTTAAAAAAAAACCCGAAAAGCCCGTTTTGGGCCACCACTTTTTTACGAGTTTGGGCACGAGAAATTGTATTAAGGCTCGGTTCGGCCCGATTTTTTATCACCTCTACCTTTTCCTAAAGTTGAATTTATAACATGTACTGAATTGCCGCTATACTATTAGGAAAGATAAATATTGTGAATATTGGGATATATATCTTAGAATATCTTGTGAATAATTTTAGGTTATTTGGTCTTGCCCTCCAAGTATCCTAGCCTATATATAATTGTATGTGGCCGATTATGTTGAATGTGAATTACAGAGAATATTATTCATTATATTTTAGCATGGTATCAAGAGCCTTGTGAGATCCAAAAAATTTCTTTTCTCTAAAAACATTGTTTTTCATAAAGTTCGTTTGTAGTAGTGAATTGTTTACATGAGTTTCAAATCAAATCAATTTTTTTTCCTTTGTACGTGAGAGATGTCAAGGGGAGATGGAGGAAAATCGAAGGTCGACTTGACTTTTCACCTAGGTTCGAGTGACGCACCAGGCAATGTGATTACCCCTATTCAACTTCGGGGTGATAACTATGATGAATGGGCTAGGGCTGTGAGGACGGCTCTAAAAGCTAAGAGAAAGTTCGGTTTCATTGACGGCACCGTTGTGAAACCAACCAAATCTGAGAAACTTGAGGATTGGGTGGCCGTTCATTCCATGTTGGTTTCTTGGTTGTCAAATACCTTGGATCCAATTGTCCGTTCAACAATAGAGGACTATGATGATGCTTGCTTGCTGTGGACTAATTTGAAGAACAGGTTTTGTGTAGTCAGTGGCACTCGAGTGTGTCAATTGAAGCGATCATTGGGTGAATGTAAGCAAGGGTCGAGCGAGCCTGTGGCTGTGTACTTTGGCCGATTGGCTAAAATTTGGGATGAATTGACAGCGTATGTGTCCGTCCACATTGCTCTTGTGGTGAGTGCAAGTGCAACGTTGTGACTCAGGTAGAGAAAATCAGAGAAGCCGATTATGTGCATCACTTTCTAATCGGCTTAGATGATGCATGCATATGCAGCGATTAGAGGCCAACTTTTGGCCCAAGAGCCTCTCCCGGGTGTTAATAAAGATTATCAACAGCTCGTTAAAGCGGAGCAGCTACGTGGTGGGGAGACGCCTCGTGATAACGATGTAGCCTTCAAACTCTAGTCAGAACCGAAGGCTAAAGCTCGTGACAACTTTGACAAATTTTGTGTCCATTGTAATCATGAAGGACATGAAGAAGCTACGTGTTTTCAACTTCACGGGTTTCAGGATTTGGTGGGGTGACCAGCCTCGAGGGGGCCATGGTCCAGGCAGAGGCGGCTCAGCAGCAGGCCGTGGTTCGAAACCTAGCAGCAGCTCTGCCCCATCCTCGACTGATGTTGCAGCCCTTGCGGGGGTCTCCGCTGCTCAAATTCAGCATCTTCTTGATCACTTGAACTCCATTAAGCCTAAATTGCATGGTAAGCACGATTTGGGTTGGATAATTGACATTAGAGCCTCAAATCATGTGACTTGTGATCTATCTTATTTGACGAATGTGAAGAATGCGACTCACTGACCGGTGAGATTGCCGGATGGAAATTATGCTAAGGCTTCTAAGATTGGCACAGTCACATTAGATGGCGGCTTGATGCTTACAAACGTTCTTTATGTGCCTCAATTGAATTACAATTTAATTTTCGCAACTCAATTAAGTTATGAATCAAATTGCATTAAGCAATTTACTAACAAATTTTGTGTTATACAGGACCTAATGACGAGGAAGGTGATTGGAGCGGGTGAACGTGTGAATGGACTTTATTATTTCCGAGGTGTTCCAACAGTGAAGACTTTGAAGACATATAGGGATCAATCTACAAAGTTGTGGCATCAACGTTTGGGACATCCTTCGGGAAAAGTTCTTGAGCAACTTCCGTTTGTGAGTCGTAGTAGTAAATTTAAATCTTTTGATGTATGTCCTAGGGCAAAACAACATAGGAGTAGTTTTCCTTTGAGTCAGAATAAAGCTAGTCGGATATTTGAACTAGTGCATTTAGATTTGTGGGGGCCTTACAAGACTTCATCGTCCTTTGGGTCTTATTATTTTTTAACTATTGTTGATGATTATTCTAGGGGTGTGTGGACATATTTATTGAGAAATAAAACGGAGGTTGAATACATGTATTATAATTTTGTTGCTATTGTGAAACGTCAATTTTCTCAAGAAATTAAAATTGTGCGTAGTGACAATGGTACGGAGTTTAATTCTTTGAAGGAGTTTTTTTTAAGCATGGGATATATTTTTAGACATCATGTGTAGGCACGCCTCAACAAAATGGGAGGGTTGAGTGAAAACATCAACACATTTTGAATGTAGCTAGAGCCCTGCGATTTCAAGCTAATTTACCTATCAAATTTTGGGGGGAGTGTGTACAAGCGGCTTGTCACTTAATTAACCGAACTTCTTGTTTACTTGATTATAAAACTCCTTTCCAAATTTTATTCAATAAACAACCTTCATATGAGCATATTCGGGTGTTTGAGTGTTTATGTTTTGCATATAATCTACGAAGTAAAGGGGATAAATTTGCTAGTAGAAGTCGGAAGTGTGTCTTTGTTGGGTATCCTTTCGGAAAAAAGGGGTGGAAAGTCTATGATTTAAAGTCCAAAGAATTTTTTGTTTCGAGGGATGTGCGGTTTTTGGAACAAGATTTCCCGTTTATGTCTCCACCTACACACTACTAGAAATCACCTGAATTCCGACGGATTGCTTCCGACGGACATGTAAATCTGTCGGAAAAACTAAAATTTCCGACGGATTTATATTTCGTCAAAGATTTCCGACGAATTCATCAATTTCGTAGGAAAATCCGTCGGAAAATAGGTAATTTACGACGGATTTTATATCCGTCGGAAAGTTCCAACGGATAGATCCGTCGGAAATTACCTATTTTCCGACGGATTTCAATTCCGTCGAAAAATTAATGATTTTCGGCGGATTTTTCCGTCGGAATCATTAAAATAATATTTTTTTAAAAAATATCTCATAACCCTAATAAGTGGGCGCCGCTTCTTTCTTCTTCTTTCCTAATTCCTTCTCCTCTTTCCTCCTTCTCCTTTTCTCTTTCCTCCTCCTCTGTGGCGCCCTATCTCCTCCTTCTCCGCCGTCTTTCTCTTTCCTCCTCCTCCTCTATCTTTCCTCTTCTTTCTCCTCTGCAGTTCTTCTTCTCTTTCCCTCATCTTATTTCCCCTCTACCAATCAAATGTCGAACATCATCTTCAAGTAATGGTTGTTACGGTCAAATTCGAGCTTGAAATCCTTAGATCTAAAGGTTTCATGGTCGAATTTGACCGTATGAAACCATATTCGAGTGAAATTCAAAGGAAAAATGGTAATATAGGTATGTTCTTGGTTTTATTTGTTTTTTTTTTGTTAATTTATGGGCTGTGAATTTGTATGGTTTGTGTTTTTTTTTTAATTTTTGGGTTTAATTACTATTGAATGTGGTGGATGGGTGGCGGACCGGTGGTTGGTTAGGGTTTGGGGTGGGTGGGTATCTGGGTGTGGGAGGTTTTTATGGGCTAGTAGGTTAGGGTTTGGGGTTGCGTGGGGATCTGGGTGTGTGGGAGGGTGGGCTACTGGAATCGGGTTTGAGGGTTGGGTGGGGATTTGGGGTTGGGTGGGGATCTGGGTGTGTGGGAGGGTGGGCTACTGGGATCGGGTTTGGGAGTTGGGTGGGGATTTGGGATCGGGTTTGAGGGTTGGGCGGGGTCTGAGTGTGTGGGAGGGTGGGGCTACTAGGTTTGGGGTTGTGGCTGGGTGGGCAGTGGCAACTGAACTTGGTGGTGGGTGGTGGTCAGGGTTTGGGTTTAGGTTTGGGTGGTGGGGTTTTGGTTAGTTTTGGTCAGGGTTTAGGTTCGCTTAGGGTGGCCGGTGGTGGTTGTGGGGGCTGATGGTAGTGGGGGTGGTGCAAGCTGATGGTGGTGGGGGTTTAATTTAGTTTTTGTATTTAATTTGTTGTGGTGAAGGTGGCGGTTTAGCGGTGGGGGCTGATGGTGGTGGGGGTGGTGTGGGCTTTTTTTTTTTTGGTTTTTTTAAAAGGATTTTTCGACGGACTTTTCCGTACCTTGAAAATCTCTTCCGATGCTAAAATTCGTCGGAATTTCTGTCGGAAAAGTGTTTTCGACGGAAATTCCGTAGGAAAAGGTCGCTTTTCCGACAAATACTATTACGACAACACGTTCCGAAGGAATTCCGTCGGAAACACGATTTTTGACGGAAAACAAGGTGTTTCCGACGGAATTTTTCCGTCGTAATTAAGCTGTTTTCTTGTAGTGACACCTCCTAATTTTGTTCCTAGCAGATTAGTGGGTGAAGTTGAGGGGGCATGTGATGATGAAACTGGCAGTGCAATTAATGAGGGACATTTGGGTAATGGTAAGGAGCATGTAGAAGGGTATTTGGGAGATGATGCAGCGTGTGAGGACGGGGGATCAGACCACACTGCAACTGACTTGCGGTCTGAAGAGGCTGCCCACAACCAGCTTGCGGAGGAGACTGCCAGCCACACAAATCAGCGTGCTGGGCCCTCTGTCGTAGCTGGTACAGGGGTCTTGGAGGGCGGACTGGGTGATGAGCAAACCCAGCAGCCCGCGCCACACTTGCAAGCGTCATAGCTTTGGGAAAAGGCATGAGATCGAAGTATCCCTCGATTAAACTCCGTGATTATGTGACGCATACTATACAGAATAAAAGTCCATCTACACCAACTCAGAGTTCACTCGTGACATCATCTCCCTCAGGTATTGTTTATCCTATAACACATTTTGTTGATTCTCACCGATTTTCTATGAAACATAGAAAATATATTGCTGCTATTACAGAAGGGAATGAACCCAAAAGTTTTAGGGAGGCCATGAAACACGAGGGTTGGAGAAAGGCAATGGCAGATGAGATACAGGCATTTGAAGAACAGGGTACTTGGGTGCTAGAAAAATTACCACCTGGTAAAAAGGCACTCTGGAGCAAGTGGGTGTACAAAGAAAAATATGATGAGCATGGGAATTTGCAGAGATTGAAGGCAAGGCTAGTTGTCTTTGGCAATCATCAGGTTGAAGGTTTAGACTACAATGAGACGTTTGCTTCGGTAGCAAAAATTGTTAAAGTTTGAACTTTTCTTGCAGTAGCGGCGGTGAAAAATTGGGAAGTCCATCAAATGGACGTCCATAATGCGTTTCTTCATGGTGATTTGGAAGAAGAAGTATATATGAAAATTTCTCCTGGTTTTGAGAAAGATAATTTTGACAAAGTTTGCAGGATGAAGAAATCATTATACGGGCTTAAACAAGCTCCTCGTTGCTGGTTTGCAAAGCTTGCTACAGCTTTGAAACAGTATGGCTTTAAACAGTCATATTATGATTATTCTTTATTTACTCTGACAAAGGGTAAAATGCAGCTTAATGTGTTGGTGTATGTCGATGATTTAATTGTTGCAGACAACGATAAAAATGCTATGCTCAGTTTTAAATCATATCTGGAAGATTGTTTCAAGATGAAAGATCTTGGAGTGTTGAAATATTTTTTGGGGCTAGAGGTAGCCCAGAATAAACAGGAAATTTTTATTTTCCAGAGGAAGTATGCGCTGGATATTATTACTGAAGCTGGTTTACTTGATGCTAAACCTGCATAGTTCCCTATGGAACAAAATCACAAGTTAGCACTATCACATGGAGAGTATTTTTACGATATTGAGAAATATCGTCACCTCATAGGTCGACTGATTTGTTTGTCTATTACTAGGCCTGATTTAGCATATTTTGTACACATTTTATCTCAGTTTATGCAAAATACCGGGATTGAATATTGGGAATAGAGGTGGCAATTTGTGTCAGTGGGTTGGGTTCGGGTCAGATTTCGGGTCGATTTCGGGTTATACTTAAAAACAATAAAAAAAATAGTGTAAAACTAAATATTATTACGAAATATGAAAATTTGGTCAAATCGGGTCGAATTCAGGTTATTCGGGTTCGGGCCGGTTCAGGTTTCTCTTAGTAACTTCGGGTCGGGTTCATTCGAGTTTTCGGGTCGGGTCAGGGATTGCCAGCCCTACTTGGGAAGCAGCTCTGCGAGCTGTTAGATATTTGAAGAAGAGCCCGGGACAGGGAATTTTATTGAGATCTTATAGTGCTTTACAGTTAGAGGGTTGGTGTGATTCAGATTGGGCAGGATGTCCTCTCTCTAGACGATCCTTGAGTGGTTGGTTTGTGCTTCTTGGTTTGTCTCCAGTATCGTGGAAAACCAAGAAGCAACCTATTGTTGCTCTTTCTTCATCAGAAGCAGAATATCGTTGTATGAATGCAACGACTTGTGAATTAAAGTGGTTGAAGCGACTACTTGGTGACTTAGGTGTTAAACATGAGAATGAGATGCACCTTTATTGTGATAGTCAGTCTGCATTATACATTGCGCAGAATCCAGTATTTCATGAACGAACAAAACATATTGAATCGGATTGTCATTTTGTTCGGGATGCGATTACAGATGGGACGATTATACCCTCGTATGGTCCTACGACGGTTTAATTGGCCGGCATTTTTACAAGAGTTCTGGGAAAAGCTAAATTTGAGTTTCTACTTCGCAAGTTGGGTGTCCGAGATCCGTACTCTCCAAATTGAGGGGCGTATTAGGAAAGATAAATATTGTGAATATTGGGATATATATCTTAGAATATCTTGTGAATATTTTTAGGTTATTTGGTCTTGCCCTCCAAGTATCTTAGCCTATATATAATTGTATGTGGCCGATTATGTTGAATGTGAATTACAGAGAATATTATTCATTATATTTTAGCACTAGTTTTGTGCCCCATGTGATGCCCGGGTTGTTTATGGACTTTTAAGATAAAATGATATTATAATTTAATTGGATTGAAAATAGAATTCTAAATTAACTTTTTTTGCTACAAAGTCTATCTAATTTTATCCAACGTGGTACGACACTTGGTGAAAAGTTAAAACGTTATATGATGTTGTCTTGTGGCCTAATTATAAATTTATTATTTGGTATTTTATCGAAAATAAAACTCCAAACTAACCATCTTATTGTAAAATTCTATCCTAATTTGACTGAAAATAAAATTTTTAACTAACTTTTTTTTTATCTTATGAAGTCTATTTAAATCTATCCAAGGTGGCGCGACACTTGGCGAAAAGTTAGAATGCCAAGTGTCGCTATTTCGTGACCTGACTAAAAGTTTAGCTTTATATATTAGTTATAGAGTTAATATAAAAAGTGGGTACTAAACTTTGGCCAAAGTTGCAGATTGGGTACTCAACTTTGGCTTGTGGCAAATTGGGTACTCTTACCTGCCTAAGTTTACTTTTCCGGCAAGTAACTTGCTACAACAGGTAATTTGCAAGCAAATATATATTTTTTTATTATTATTATTATATATATAATAATCAATTTAGTGGAACTAACACATTAAACTACATTTTAGCTGTAATTTATTGATAATTGAACATTCGAATTCAACAACTAATAACCCAGATCACCATTTGACCAAATTCTCCTAAAATCAGTACAACAAACATAATGATGATCTCTGATCTAAAATCAAAAATATAATCAAACTAAACAAAATCCATATCAAAGTTGTCAAATTCATCATCTACAACAGTCACGAGCACATGAATATCCAACATGCAACTAAACAATAATTAATAATAAAACAACAATTCATAGTAACTAAACTAAACAATAATTCATAACAAAGCCATCCTTTTTTTTTTTTTTGAAACATAACAAAAAAAAAAAAAACCATCCTTCACAGTAAAAAAACAATTAAATTAAGCAGGAAATTGCTGGAAAAATCTGACCACCACCCAACCCACCATCGCACAACCACCTAGGCACCCACACCGCCTTGCTACCACCACTGCATCCGATCCACACTCCCATGAAATTTCCACCTCCATGAGACCCACGCCCACAGATCCAATCACCCTCATGAAAAACCACGAATTCAACCACCCCCATGAAAGCCCTAAAAAATCCGACCACCATCACAAACCCAGGCCACCACCCTCACGAAACCTAGGCTAACACCCTCGCGAAAATGTCCTCGTAATTCCAACCAACCTTACAAAACCCAAGCCACGAAACCCCCCACAAATTCGACGGAATCTACTACGAAAACCCCACAAATCCGACAAAACTCGCCTTGAATTAATTTCTTAAAGGTTGAGACTTGAGAGAAAGAAAGAAGAGCTAAAAGAGGTTTTTTTTTTCCAAACGGGAGCTAAAAGAGGTTGGGAGAGAGAAAATATGGGGAAAGATGAAATTTTTGGTTAATTAATTTAATTGAAGGTTTTTTTTTTAAAAAAAAAAAAAAAAAAAAAAAAAAAAGAAAAAAAACTCATTAATGCTTGGTAACCTGTTAACTTGTTGTTAAAGGTCAAAATTCAGACAGTACCCAAGTTTAGTACCCAACTTGCAACAAAGCAAAGTTGAGTACCCAATATGCAACTTTGGCCAAAGTTTAGTACCCACATTTTATATTTACTCATTAGTTATATGATATGATATACCCATGATGCCAAAACAAAATTCACTCTATATCATTTAGTTTCTTATACCTATCAATTTTTTTAGGTGAATTTGTGCGAAATATTATCTTTATTTGCAGTGTTTTTGCGAATATTTTGCGTACTGAACATGGGAATTCATCGAAATGTAAAAACAAGAATCTTTTATTAAACATCAGCATGAAGCTTGCCTCTTTTTCTGGTCGCATGCATACAAAACCATTTGATGGTTTCCGTGATCACTTCCACTTGCTTGGATGTTCACAAAACACAAAGTATCAAAAAATTATTGCTTGGAAGTTCAATAAACCACACCAAATTTAGTCTGTCATGTGTGTAGATGGGCACATCTTGTAACCACTACTTATAAAAAAAACAAAGTAACCACTATAACACTGATGAAATAACTTCTTTAATACAAACCAAATAACTCCTATTACACCAACAAAGTAACCCTTATAATAGCTGGTCACACGATGTGACCAACCACATATAAGAATGTGTGGTGATAGTTAGTATATTAATTACGTATGCATATCTCTAACAAATTCTCATGACTTCCTTCACTTATATTAATCATACCATAGTAACCATACATCCAACCCTCTCTGAACGAACACCAATAAACAATTTGGCTGCAGGTTTATTTATTTATCATTCCCTTAAACCACTCCATTTCTATAATTAGTAAAAATAATAATAGCATAACAGCACTAATCATGCACTAAGTCCTATAACCACTCCAAGTTTGACCCTTCTATAATTCCATAATTGCTCTTTAATTTGTTGTCATTTCGCAAGAGAGACACAAAAATGAAAGAATACTGTGTAACAGGGGCGACTGGATTTGTGGCGTCGCACCTTATTAAGGCACTGCTGCAAAATGGCTGCTCCGTAAGAGCTACTGTACGAGATCCTGGTACTATTATTTTTCATACCATTTTCTACACCTTGTTTTCTTTATTACTTTACATTTAGTATTTTTTACATTTATGTTTTGTTTGCTTGAATCAATTTTCAATTATGTGACTCCTTATACACTGATTTTTGCCTTCAAATGAAGAAAAACACATTACTAATCATTAATTAAAAATTGTTTTACATTTTTGTCAAAGATTGAAATGATGTTATAAGGGAGAAAAAAAAAAAACATTATTGTAATCAAGGTAATTTTAGGGGCCGTTGGTTCATCAGGGAAGTGAAAATTCCCATTAAATTACAATTTGTAGGAATTAAATTCCTTTGTCAAAATTATGGGAATTCATGAAATTTGTTTGGTTAAAAATGGAGGAAGTAAATTCCCATAGGAATTGATTGTAACTTACCAAGGGGGGGTTGGGTAAGTTAATTCCCATGTTTTGAGGGAAGTCAAAATTCTCGTGAATTGGCATTGCCCCCATTTTTACTTTTTTGTGTCAACCAAACAAAAAGTCCAAAATGAAATTCATGGGAATTTTAAATGCCCACAAGATATTAAGCCAACCAAACAACACCTAAGGGCTCGTTTGGTTGAATGTAAGAATTGCAAATTCCTTGGAAAATTGATTTCCCATGAAATTGAACTTCCTAGGAAATTCTAAAAAGTGTTTGGTTAACTAAGGGAATGAGAATTTTCACTTACCTAGGTCTCCCTAGGTAATTAACTTTCCCCATATTATGGGAAGTGGAAATTCATGGGAACTTTCCGTGAATTTGTCAACCAAACAACTTCAAAGAATTTCAATTACTAGGATTTTCAACTTCCCATGTTTTTATTTGTCAACCAAACAACCCCTTAGTATGTGCAACATTATACTAGTATAAAACAACAAATTTAGCTTTCTTCATTCTATAGTTTTTTAAGTAACATATTATTTCTTTTTAAAAAGAATAATGGGTATCTATGAGTATAGAAAACGAGTTTCTAGAGGAAGGAGAAAAACAAAATTGAATTTGTACCTGCATTTGTATTAAAATGCTCATACTATACGCGGTTGGATGAATCAAGATGTACTACCTACATATCTGCCCTCACATAAGAAAGTGTTTTCATGCTTTATTACGTCAATCTTGATTATAGTTGCTAAGAAGATGAGGAGTTATGCGAAATTGCAAAGGCATTGTTTAGTAAAATAATAAATCTATTGTTATCTCCAATAATGCTTTAATAGTAGCTTGATGGAGATCGTTACTAATCCCTCTGTGTTTTAATAAATGTTACAGTTTGATCGACACATAGTTTTAAATAATATAATTGATTTAAATAAAATAAGAGGTAAGTAGACTAGTTGAAGTATTAAAAAATTGTTAAAAAAAAATAGTAGGTTAGTAGTTTATTGAAGGAAAAATGGAAATTAAAAATCAAACCTTTGCGCGGTATTAATAATCAAGAGGTTGGGTTATTACGTTGTGTACGTATGAGCAGATGTGGTATGCCTATGCTAAGACATTAGGAGAAAAGACGGCACAGAAAGTAGCAGAGGAAAAAAATCTTGATCTTGTGGTTGTACACCCATCCTTTGTAATTGGTCCCTTGCTTGCTCCGTATGTAACGAGCTCACTCAAATATGTACTTGATCTAATCAAAGGTTAGTATCCTTTTTCCATTACAAACCATATGTAATAACTTATAATATATAGCTAGTTGATAATTACTTTTTGAGCATAATATTATTAGGTGCAAAAGGTGCATACCCAAATGGGTATTGCGGATTTGTTCATGTAGAAGATTTAGTAGCAGCTCATATATTAGCTATGGAGGAAAGCAAAGCATCAGGCAGATATATCTGTTCAAGCTCGGTAGCACATTGGTCCGACGTCTTGGCAGGGCTTAGGACTAAGTATCCCATGTACCCGTTTGAAACCAAGTATGATATATTTTCTTGAAAACTTTGCTTGTTTGTATATGTACTTTCATTATTATATACAAGTACTAGTATATTATTTGTGCTGAATTTTTTACATTGTGTGTTACATAGGCCTAATAACAACGAAGGGGATCGAAATCAGCATAGCATGGATGCTACTAAGATTCTGCAGTTGGGGTTACCAAGTTTCAAAAGTATCCCTGAAATGTTTGATGATTGCATCAAAAGTTTCGAAGACAAAGGGATGTTGTCATCAGCTTCTTAGCTTAATTTGTTGTCAAAACTTAGTAATCAGTGGTCCAATATGATGGCATTGAAGATGCCTCTTTTATATATGTAGCCGATTGTGATCGATCATTTGATTTCTTTTTTCTTTTGATGATACTATTCCTAATTTCAATGTTGGTGGTTCTCTTTTATATTTCTCTACTTTATTTAAAGAGACTGGATACAAATATACCATTAGCGCACCTTTTATTTGTCTGGTTTTTTACTCCTGTCATCAAGCACCGGCAATATAGCATGGCATCAAATGCTAATATGCTGTAGCGCAATGCTAAGATAGATTTGATCCTCTTCCAAGTAAGAAAAAAGTTTCATGGTGTAATTCTTATGAACTCTAAACAAATAGAAATAAAGATACTCCCTCCGTTTTTTTATTAGAGTCTCGTTTCTCTTTATTATGTGAGTATGAATGTATTGGAAATCGATGTAAAAGTCAGTAATACTACAAAAAAAGTGATGACAACTCATAAAAAGTGAAGAATATTTTCAAATTATATTAAAATAAAAGTAGATCTTTAGTTTTGATTTGCCAAAAACGAAATATAGGTTCTTAATATAAAAGGAAGGAGGGAGTATAAATGTACCAGAAGTATATATGTGAAAATCACACCATAATATGGTGTACTAATGTGCACCAAAAAAGAAAATATATATATATATATATATATATATATATATATATATATATATATATATATATATATATATATATATATATATATATATATTAATTTGTAAACTATAAGGAGGGTTTTCCATTAGAAAGTCCTTTCTAAAATCCATTCACCTTAAATGAAAAACTCATATTATCTTTTTTTTACCATATTACAGTATTAATTACTCTTAATATATGCATGCATAAACTTAGGAGGACATTAATTTGTATTTGTAAACTGTAAGGAATGTTTTCCATTAAAAAAAAAAGTCAATTCTAAAATCCATTCCCCGTCTTAGAAAACTCGTCATGTTTTAACTTTTTTTTTTTTTAACCACACTACTCAAATTAGAAAAACCTTTTATAAATAGAGAAATAATATAATGAAGGTAGACAATTATACATGCACTTTTTATTTTTATTTCTATTTTTTTAGATCAAAAATGCTCAAATTTTGATGAAATACTACGGAGTACCACACAACACAAAATCAATAGCAAAAAGAGTCAGAGACATATATAGTAAAGCCAACCTTTCGCACCCCGACGTTTTATGTGAACAACACATTTGAAATGGAATCAAAACCCATAATACTACTACCATTCTCAACCATTGTAATTAATTAGCCTTATCCAATTTTAATGCAAGGCATAATTAATATATATTGATCCTTAGTTCGTATTACCTAATTTCACGCCACAATTTATCTAATAAAATCATCATCTTCATATTTCATCTTACTTCACCTGAAAGCCAATTAAGATAAGGGAAAACAAAGGATACGTTTTTTTGTTTTCTCTTATCTGAAATTAAATGGGTGTTGTTGAATCCGTACCTGAAAAATCTGTACACGAATTTATAGTTAAGGTACTTCGAATTGAATCTTTTTTGTTATGATTAAAAATTTTAATGTTTTGTCTCTTAAAAAAAGGTCAAAAATTAACTTTTATGTGTAACGTGTTGAATATAAAATGATATGTTTTGAATGAACAGGATTATAGGGGAAAAGATGTTGATTTGAGTATCTATAAAGGAAAGGTTCTCCTCATTGTTAATGTTGCAACTCAATGGTAAATCCTTTTTATTACATCATTTGTAATTTGGTGATCTTTGTCGAATTTATTGTGTTTATTTTTAATCGTTTGGTAATGTATATGATTAATGCCTCAGATTTAAACATTTTATTAATCTTTGCACATATACACTTGTTATTTACTTGTTTCTGTTAAAAAAATTTAGGTGTCGTTTGGTTGCTATGGGAAATTACTTTTCATAAGAATTTGTATTTCATGGGAATTAAATTCCTACATTGAAATCATGGGAATTGTATAAAGTTATTTGGTTGGCATGAGGGAAGTTGCAAATCATGGGAAGTTTGACTTACCTAGGGGGGTTAGGTAATTAACTTCCCATGTTTTGTGGGAAGTCACAATTCCCATGAATTTGCAATTCCCTCATTTCAACTTCCTCCATTTTCCTTGTGTAGCCAAACAACCCCTTACTTGTTATCATGAATTATATAGATAATAATTTAATCTTTGCTTCTGTTTTGCATTTGTTATAAACAGTGGGTTCACCAATATACAATTACCCCAATTAACAGAACTTTACCGGAAATATAAAGATCAAGGTGTGTTTTTCGTTGTGAATAACATTCACGAGCATGAACTTTGGGTTGTTTATAATCAATGACATACACTTGGCTATACGACATAAATAGCACGTCGTATCCAAACAAAATCGTCCTTTTTCTACAAGTTCGTGTCAATGATTGTAAACAACCCTAATGTTACCATATGTCGTCGATTTTACTTTCAAGTTTCAACTATTAAAATTGAAGGTAGCACGTACTATCTGATTGTTCCAGGTTTCGAAGTACTGGCATTTCCTTGCAACCAATTTCTTAAGCAAGCTCCAGGAAGTAGTGAAAAAACAAGAAAGGTGGCTTGTGACAGATTCAAGGCTGAGTACCCCGTTTTTCGTAAGGTAATTTGAATTATGTGGTACATTATCAATTATTCTACTATAGTACAATTATATTGCAAGAAAAAAATGTATATATATATATAGGGGAGGGATCCGGTGAGAATAGGTCCATATGTGAGAATTCATACTTATATGAGAACTGATTTAAAATTTAGAACATGTGGGTAAAAATTTAGAACATACGAGTTAAAATTTAGAACATGTGACTCAAATTAAAATTTTGAACATATGAGTAATAATTTAGAACATTTGTGTGAGTAATATGTTAGAACATCTGATTTAAGAATTAGAACAAGTGATTAAAAATTTATAAAATTTGCTTTATGAAATTTTAAACATATGAGTAACATTTAGAACACTTGATTTAAGATTATAAACATGTGAATAAAAATTTAGAACAAACTGATATTGAATATAGAAAGTGTGAGTAAAGAATTTAGAACATACGAGTAAAAAAAATAGAACATACGCTTTAAAATGTGGAACATATAATTAAAAAATCTTAGAAAATCTGGAACATATAATTAAAAATCTTAGAACACACGTTTTAAATTACAACATAAAAGTTAAAAGTTTGGAACAAGTTATTTAAAATTTATGACATCAAGCTTAACTAATTTATGGTTTAGAACATGTGAGTAATAAATTAGAACATTTAATTTAATTTAGAACACCTAAAAAAAAGTTTAAAACATCAGATTTAAAATTTAGAACATACGAGTAAAAATTTAGAACATAAAGAGTGTTCTCACATAAGAAAAATTCTCATATAAGAAAAATTCTCACGAGAGTCTTCCCCTATATATATATATATATATATATATTTACTAAGAAATCTTCTACCAGGTATGTGTAAATGGTCCGAAGACACCACCTCTTTACAAATTCCTCAAAGCAAGTAAAATCAATGGAGAGTCTAAATGGGCTAATCGTGTCAAATGGAACTTCACAAAATTCCTTGTCGATGTGGATGGACAAGTTATTTATCGACGCGGTTTAACGACACCCCCTAAAACGATGGAGGTAAAATTGACACCCTTTTTTTAAACCTTAACAAATGGGGAAACATGATAACTGTATCGATATTAGATCATACTCTTTTCATTTCATATTATTGTATGCACTTATTTCCATGAAGTTAAAAATATGCGTTAGAACATTAAATTTTTAATTACATACATTTTTAAAAGTTTACATGTTAAATATATACATTGATGCATTACTAATTAATTATGTGACGCTAAAACTATATTAATACGCATTGTTATAGCATATTGATTATTTCCTTTCCTTGTTCGTGATGTGCAGAGACAAATTGTAAAAGCATTGGAAGAAAGAGCAGCACGACAACAAATTATGTACTAATGCAAAGTTTGAGTAGTATTAAGTCAAAAAAATGAATGAAGCTTTGTTCTTTTGTGGTTTATAACTTTATATGGCTAAGAGGTGCTATTTTTACCGTGGTGTTAATTTGCTAATCAATTAATCTTGGTTGGTAGATGTAAGTTTTCATACAATCACAGAATATTTAAAGATTAAAAAAAAAAAAAGTGTTGTGTAGTTGTGCATCTTAATCTTCATGCTTGAGCTTTTGAAAATGATGTTCACAAGATGAGAATAAGGTTGTTATTGCACTCTATGGATTTCATGGTTACATGCCAGTTAACCAATGAATAACTACTACGAAGTATCGATCAAATAAATTTTGGGAAATACGTTGAGATCTATCCAATAATATATACTACCTCCGTTAACTTTTAGTTGCTACTTTTGCGTGTTATTTGTGAGATATAAAATATTTCAAAGTTACAACTAAAAGTTAACGGAGGTAGTAAAAACAAATTGTCGAAATTAGTGAAAGGTTATAATTCAAAAATAATAGGAGAGCAAAGCAAGGTTTTCCAATTTGGATCAGACGTGAGCCTTCTAGATGTCATGTTACTGCATCTAAAGGCCCATAAAATGTGCCCAAACTACCTCAAAAATAAACAATGAATACGACGTGAAACTACACATATTGATTAATCAAGCAAATTGGCATCAATGAAACCGAAAAAAACTGGTTTACATTAACACAATCCTAACAATGACAATTCAATCACAAAAAGTACACACAGTTGAAGAGAGAACAAGCATTGCAGATTTGCCACAAGACTCCTAAACTCCTAATAGGCTAAATAGTATATCAGGAAATTCCTAAATATGTACAACAGAAGGCAAAGGTACCGAGTACCAAAACCGACATCTCTCTCCAACAGCAATACCTCTATCATTTGAACCTGCAAGGAATTCACCAAGCATTCTTTTCCCTGATGGGGGCTCCAGAACTTATTCTCGAAATAAAAATACAACAGTTCAATGGTGCAGCATACCACTGTCGGTCCTCAAAAGTAGTATGTGGCGTCCTCATCTTCATCATCGTTGCTTAGCCACTCCGGTTCATCATACTTACTGTATACACCGAGAAGTTCTCCATATTCATTCATAATGCCCAGCCTTACTGCTTCATCAAAAGTACTGAAAGGCACAAAGGGTTGCTTCAGATTTTCAGAGCTAATGTCACTTGCCTTGCTTTCCTGAACACTGACATACCCACTGTTGACCGACTCAACTTCAAGAACTGAAGTAGGCGATCCATGAACTACTCCATATTCAAGTTCCATTGGATCATGAACCACTTCATTCTTCACCACACTGTCCATTCCAC